TGAATGAGGAGCACCACCAATAAAAATATAGTGATAAACTTTATTAAATAAACGCAAACCAACGCATCACTCCATGCTAACAAACTAAGTCAGAAATGTTTTATAAGAAGAAGAAGATATTAAATCAGGAACCCCCCAACGTTTGTCAAGGGAGGATAAAAATGAAGGCCTGCTGTGTGCTGTAAATGGTGAATAAATGGTCTGACATATTACACTGACTGCGAGGGACACCATAACTACTGCCATAACCACCATAACCACCTGTCTTATACCATGTTATGCCCAATAACTGCCTGGTCTATACATTAACCCTGGCCTGGTCTATGATATTATTAATCCCCCCTTGGTCTATGATATTATTAATCCCCCCTTGGTCTATGATAATAACCCCGGCCTAAATTATATTAACCCCTGCCTGGTCTATGATATTAACCCCGGCCTAAATTATATTAACCCCTGCCTGGTCTATGATATTAACCCCCGGCCTGATCTATGATATTATTAACCCTGGCCTGGTCTATGATATTATTAATCCCCCCTTGGTCTATGGATATTATTAATCCCCCCTTGGTCTATGATATTAACCCCGGCCTGATCAATGATATTATTAACCCCCGGCCTGATCTATGATATTAAACCCCGCCTGGTCTATGATATTAACCCCGCCTGGTCTATGATATTAACCCCCGCCTGATCTATGATATAAACCCAGCCTGGTCTATGATATTAACCCCGCCTGGTCTATGATATTAACCCTCGCTTGGTCTATGATATTAACCCCCGCCTGATCTATGATATTATTAACCCCGGCCTGGTCTATGATATTAACCCTGGCCTGGTCTATGATATTAACCCCGCCTGGTCTATGATATTAACCCCCGCCTGATCTATGATATTAACCCTCGCTTGGTCTATGATATTAACCCTGGCCTGGTCTATGATATTAACCCCCGCCTGATCTATGATATTAACCCTGGCCTGGTCTATGATACCAACCCTGGCCTGGTCTATGATATTAACTCCGGCCTGGTCTATGATATTAAACCCCGCCTGGTCTATGATATTACCCCCACCCCGGCCTGATCTATGATATTAACCCCCGCCTGGGCTATGATATTAACCCTCGCCTGATCTATGATATTAACCCTGGCCTGGTCTATGATACCAACCCTAGCCTGGTCTATGATATTAACCCCGGCCTCGTCTATGATATTAAACCCTGCCTGGTCTATAATATTAACCCCGCCTGGTCTATGATATTAACCCCCGCCTGATCTATGATATTAACCCCTGCCTGGTCTATGATATTAACCCCCGCCTGGGCTATGATATTAACCCTCGCCTGATCTATGATATTAACCCCCGCCTGATCTATGATATTATTAACCCCCGCCGGGGCTATGATATTTAACCCCGCCTGGTCTATGATATTAACCCCCGCCTGATCTATGATATTAACCCTCGCTTGGTCTATGATATTAACCCCGGCCTGGTCTATGATATTAACCCCCGCCTGGGCTATGATATTAACCCTCGCCTGATCTATGATATTAACCCCCGCCTGATCTATGATATTAACCCCGGCCTGGTCTATGATACCAACCCTGGCCTGGTCTATGATATTAAACCCCGCCTGGTCTATGATATTAACCCCGGCCTGATCTATGATATTAACCCCCGCCTGGTCTATGATATTAACCCCCGCCTGGGCTATGATATTAACCCTGGCCTGATCTATGATATTAACCCTGGCCTGGTCTATGATACCAACCCTGGCCTGGTCTATGATATTAACCCCAGCCTTGTCTATGATATTAAACCCTGCCTGGTCTATGATATTAACCCCGCCTGGTCTATGTTACCAACCCTGGAATGATATTAACCCCGGCCTCGTCTATGATATTAAACCCTGCCTGGTCTATGATATTAACCCCGCCTGGTCTATGATATTAACCCCCGCCTGATCTATGATATTAACCCCTGCCTGGTCTATGATATTAACCCTGGCCTGGTCTATGATATTAACCCCCGCCTGGGCTATGATATTAAACCCCGCCGGGGCTATGATATTAACCCCTGCCTGGTCTATGATATTAACCCCCGCCTGGGCTATGATATTAACCCTTCGCCTGATCTATGATATTAGCCCCCGCCTGATCTATGATATTAACCCCGGCCTGGGCTATGATATTAACCCCCGCCTGATCTATGATATTAACCCCCACCTGGTCTATGATATTAACCCCCCTGCCTGATCTATGATATTATTAATCCCCGCCTGGTCTATGATATTAACCCCCGCCTGGTCTATGATATTATTAATCCCCGCCTGGTCTATGATATTAACCCCCGCCTGGTCTATGATATTATTAACCCCCGCCTGGTCTATGATATTATTAATCCCCGCCTGGTCTATGATATTAACCCCAGCCTGGTCTATGATATTAATCCCCACCTGGTCTATGATATTATTAATCCCTGCCTGGTCTATGATATTATTAATCACCCCTTGGTCTATGATATTATTAACCCCTGTCTGACTCCTTTTTTCTTTCCTTGAAAATGTGAACAATTTGTATCCAGTCTCTTCCTCATATTGTCACTTCCTGTCCCTCCTATTACACCCTCCCTGTCCCGCCTATTACAGCCTCCCCTCCTATTACACCCTCCCTGTCCCTCCTATTGTTACCCTGTGTTCTCCAATCATGGGAGCTGTTGTGGCCCCTGCCCCCTCTGTATAACACTCCCTGTCTTTATATCTCCTCCTATCACCCTCCCAAAACCAGCCCCCCCACCACTCCATGTAAGTGTCAGGAGACATAGCACTATACAGAGACCAGCAGCTGCTTATACAGAGACAACTACAGGTAACAATATACAGAGACAGCTACATGTAACACTATACAGAGAGATACATGTAACACTATACAAAGAGAGCTACACTATACAGAGAGAGCTACATGTAACACTATACAAAGAGAGCTACACTATACAGAGAGAGCTACATGTAACACTATACAAAGAGAGCTACACTATATA